TCATGGGGAGGTCTCTGCATCCACAGCAAGAGGAACAGTGAGAGGAGGTGGGGGTGGGTGGCTTTTAGGGATGTCAGTGGGCTCGGTCGGGGGGGGGATTGCAGGGAAAAGGGCCCAGGGACACTGGGTGGCACATACTTCCTAAATAAAGGCTCTTTCCATGCTCTGTGTTACCCCTTGGCTCTGGCTGTGAACAGCAGGATGGGACAGGCAGGGAGGAAGGGGTTGCAGGGGGAAGCTTGCCAGGCTCAGAGGTGACTGGCAGCCAAGGAGGGTCCTCCAGCCTGAGGAGCCCCCAGGCATCGTGCCTGCTCTTGGCTCAGCCCATCACCACCCCAGGGGAGGTGAGAGCCCCCACAAGGGATGCAGAGCCCCCCATAAGTGTGTGTTCCCACCAAAAGAGGTGTCAGGGACCAGTTTAGCCCTGCACATGGTGAAGGCTTCAGATGATCAGAGATGCCACATGCCAGCAGCCAAGCCCTTACCCCAGGGCCAGCTGGGTTCACTCACAGCTTGGCAGCCACTGGTCCCATCAGCCTGTGCTTGTGCCCACCTTTCTCATCCCCTCAAGGCCATTGTACCCTTTGCCATTCCCCATCTACCTCCCCAGTTTCACCAACCCCCAGTGGAAAAGGTGGCAGGAGGCCTGAGCTCACCCAGTGTCATCCCAGGCTCCTCTGTTGCTTTGAGACCAGGGAGTGGTGTCCCCTATCCAGGGGGGACAGCCCTGATTCCTCCAGTTACAGCCTCCTGGGCACCCTGGGTTGTTTGTTCCCTGCTGTGGGGTGTCTCTTTGTGCTGTTTTTAGCTTTCAGTTTGGTTTCAGGCTCTTCTCGTGTTCTCAGACCCTGTCTGGTTGTAGCATTCTTTTCTTCTTTCCCAGTTGCCTGCCCACCCTGCAGCTTGGCACTGGTACCTAAACTGTTTGGAAATCATCCCAAGCAGCAACAGGCCCTGGCTCAGGCTACAAAGCCCCCCAGAATATGCATCATCAGCTTGCAGTGTCTGATCACCCTCCACTTCAGCTCTCATTTGTGGGACTGGAGGAGGTTTAAAAGCAGATAAAAGTCAGATAAATTGGGGACCAGCCACTGTGGCTTTATTGGCAGGTGAGGAGATGGTAGTCACTGGAATATTTGGGGTTTCACAGAGCACCTCCTGCTTTCCTGGGTCCCACTAGGCTCAGTTTGGGCTCAGCCTGTCAATGAAAGGCCTGATTATCACAGTCAGGCTCTGTGCTTGCCATATACCAGGAGGACCACAGGAGCCAGGAGGAAGGACCACAGGAGCCAGGAGGAAGGACTACAGGAGGGTGGCAGCCACAGCACAGGAGCTTGATTGGGTCACTGTACCAGTCCCACAGGGGTGACCTAACCAGGGATGTCAGGGGACCAAGCAGGAGCACTTAGGAGGCCAGTTGGTCAGTGTGGGACTGTGTGTGCAGTGTTTGGAGGGGCTGGGATGCACAAGCCCACCTGCCCCAGACTACCCTGAGGGGGACAGTGTGGAATGCCCAGAGCTGTGGGTGCAGTGTGGGGACATGGGCCCAAGTGAGGTGTTTGCTCTGAGTGAGAAAGCTTCTCCCTGGGGGTGAGGATGCCCACCTGGAAGAGGAAGATCACTTTAGCCCATGGCTCAGGAGAGGACCCTGAGGCAATGGTGTGGGGATATGGTGTGTGCCAGAGCCCAGAGCCAGGCACCTGCAGAGGCAACACTGGTGGGCTGTCACTGCCTTGCCACGTGGGACAATGCATGAGGAGCCAAACCACCCAAAAACCAGCCAGGCCCCACCAGTGGGTCTCCCAGGCAGTGCTGTGTGGGTCTGTCACCAGCTCCAGGACAAACTTCACTGGCCTGAGCAGGTACCGAGTCACCTCCGAGGCAGCTCCATGAGCGTGAACCCTCACAGTGAGCAGCTGCCTCTGCAGCCTGGGGAGGAGGTGTGTCCCACCAGAGCTGACACACTAAAAGGGACAGTCCAAGGACCAAGGTGAGCTGGGCTGCCATGGCCCTGGGTGTCTGTCTGTCTGTCCCTCCATAGCAGCCCTGCAGCACCCCAGGTACCTGCCCTGCTCTAGGAGCGTGGGCTGGCCCTGGCAGCCCCACGGTCCTGCTGGGCTGGCCACCACCCCACTTCAGGGAGGGGAACCTTGGGGTCCTTGGACCACAGGAGAGCTGCCAAACAAGGTGAGCCCTTGCCCTGGGGAGGTTCCTCTCACCCTGGAGCTGGTCCTGGCCCAGGTGAGTGGCTGAGCCCCCCGGTTGGGGTGGTCCTGGTAGGGAGTGTCCATGCCCCCTGGTGCACCCTGTGCCCTTGGGGAATGTGGGGTGTCTGCCTGTCTGCTCCCACCAGCAGCTCCAGCCCCTTCACAGGGAAGATGGGACTGCAGACAAGGTCCTGCATGGAGCAGGCAGGGATATCAGTTAACAGGCAGTAAGGAGCTGGCAGCAGACAGGGTGACCCTCTGTGCCCCTCCTGTCTGCACAGCAGCTCCCCCTGCCTCTCCCTGTCCCTGCCCAGCACAGCCACGTTAAGGGGGGCAAGGTGCCCTTGCTCACCCCAGGGAGGAGGAGGAGGAAGGGTTGCCACCAGGTGTGCATGTGCATTCATTTCTGCTGGGCCAGGGAGCAGCCTGGGCCCAGTCCAGCCCCTCTCCAGCTGGTGTGCAGCCAAACCTAGGCAGGAGGCTGGGAGTGCCCCCCCATCCTACCCAAGACTGGCTCTGTGGAAGCCAGGCTGGATAAGGAGCAGCTCCCAGAGCCAGGACAGCTGGGAGAGAAGGGGTGTGTGTGTATGTGTGTGTCCCCAGGAGACCCTGTAAGCCACAATCCCCAGGGCAGTGGGGGTGCAAATGGGGTGTAAACCTGGGCTGGAGCTGGGGCCAGCCAGGGATGGGGGTGCCAGGGTGTCCCAGCTGGGCCCCCGGGGGCAGGTACTGGGGCTGTTAACCAAGGGAACTCGATTAACAATTAACTCTATTAACAGAGGAGTGGCTGCAGGGGATGTTGCTGAAGGGAGGGGGAGCTGCCCCCCCATCCTCGGGTGCTGCCAAGCGTGGCAGCCCTTCCCTGGGTGGGCAGAGCCACCAGCAGCAGGACTGGGGTGCAGAGCTCTGCCCACAGATCCTGGGGCAGGTGAGGGCTGAGGTTGTCCCAGGGGCTGTCCCCTCAGCCCCGGCCCTGCCAGACCAGCCCCTCTGGGGGGAGGCTGATGGCCACCCCTTACTGCTGCTCAGGACCCTGCTGCCCCAGCCTGCAGCTCCCTGTCCCTGCCCCTTATGCCCCCAGCCCAGCTGGCATCCCCGAAGACCTTCCAGGAGCCAGGTTTAACCCCTTCCTTTCCAATGAGCAGCCCAGCTACTCCAGGAGGAGGGAAGAGACCCTGACGGGGCTCTGCGACCCCACACCCCCAGGCTGCAGCACCCAGCACCCCAGATGAGCAGCTCAGCACCCCAAACCAATGGTTATGGGGGCATCAACCCATGAGAACGGGCTGAGACAGGACTGGGGAGTGGGGTCTGCAATGAGCTTGCAAGGCCTCAGCACTGGGGCTCTCGGGCTTCATCCAGCTTGTCTCAGCTTCCCTGGAACTTTTGGTTTCCTTTCAATGTGACAGTATTACCAAGTGGCCAATTACTCAGGTTTAGTTGCTTCCCTTTGGTGTGATGTCTGTTGTGATTCAAGGGTGGGAATGAGCAACACGAAGGAACCTCAGGTGAAAGAGCTGGGTGAAGTCCAGGCCTGGTGTGGGGTAACAGCTGTGGCCCTACCAGCAACTCACCCCCAGGCAGTTCCTTTTGGTGACACAGAGTTGGCAAAACATGGTGTCAGGGGCAAGAGGAGCAAAGGACCAGCATCCAGCAGGGATACAATACTTCACTTACCATGAAGGCAGACGAAATGTGGAGCTACAGAGTGATGAAGTGAGGGGTAAGATGTGCTAGAAAACGTGTAAAAATGGCCCCAGTGGGCTTGAGAGTGAGGAGGAAGAAGTCCCCTCAGTGAACATCACACTTCTCCCAGCAGAGTCCTCAGGATGCTCCCTGACCTCCCCTGGAGGGCACAGGCCAGGAGGGGCTGTGGACAGCTGCCACTGCAGTCTGATACTGAGATCTGTGTTGTAGGAACTGGATACACCCTCAAAAAGAGGCAAAGCCCTCAGCAGACCTGGGAGTGGAAGCTGTTTCCTGCTGTGACCCATGGCTGCCTTGCCTCTAGCTGCAGGAAATCAGCCTCTCACAGAAACAACCCTCTGTGGTTCAGTACCCTTAAGGATCCATCCTGGTTCCTGAGGTGTGACAACAGCCAAGGCCACAGGCAGTTACAGAGCTTCACCCTCTGCTGACCCTCTGACCCTGTGCAGCTCACCCAGCCCCTGCCACCATGCACTGCTGTCACCATCAGCCCTGCTGCATTTCCCTGGAACCCCTGGCTGTGCTCTCCTGGCTAAAGAGAAGCACCATCAAATCCAGTTGCTCCTTGCACCTCTCCACCAAGGAAACAACTGGGGAACGACAATAATGCAATGAGAGTGTTGACACAAGGAGAGGAAGGGGCAGAACCATGTGTGTGTGTCTGTGTGTTTGGACCAGCTCCAGCCACTTTGTGCCCAAGCTCCTGAAATCCTTCCTGGAGCAGAGGAGCAGTCAGGCCTGACCAGGGCAAAGGTGACACTGGGGAGAAGTTTTAGGGCACCCTGCATGCCATGCTTCCCCAGGGAGGTCACCCTGCCCCACTCACTGCAGGCTGCCCACCCTTCCCAGCACAGGAACCAGCTCCCCATCCTCTTCTTTACCAGCTGCAGTCAGGATGTGAAACACCCACCTGTCCTCACTCCTGTTTTCCAGCAAGTGCAAGGAATATTTACCACCCAGAACCACCAAAAGAATTATGGCTGGATGCCTTTAATGTTCAAGATACATCACGGTGACCTGAGGAAGAACCAGTAGTAGGAACTGCTCAAACCACCTGTTTGGGTAGGAGCTAGAGAGGTGCTCCCTAGTGCCCACTGCTTCCCATGGACACCTCTAGCTTTTCCAGCCTGGAAAAGAATGTTTTCTGACAAACTTTGTCAGAAGAGCCACCTCTGATCTTTCCAGTGATTTGGTTTACAGCACGACAATGAGCATGAAAACACATCAGCATGTGCCAGAGCCACAACCTGGAGACTTTCCCTCTGTAACTTGTGAACTTTGGGCTCCTGCTTTTCCCACACTGATGCTTCAGCACTATAATGCCACACAGAGGGATGGACTGACAACCACGAGAGGACCCTGGAAAGCTCTCTCTGTCCCTGGGCTAAATTTACTCCAAGCACACAGCAACCTCTGGAGTGTGGCTGAAAGTGGCACAAGGCTCTCCAGAGCAGGCAGAGAGCAATCCTAGACAGCAGGACGTGGTGCTTCCTGCTGTGACGCTGCCTCAGGCTCCGATCAGGATCACAGAACTCCACAGTGGAAAACACAGGGAATTTGCTTTTAACATTCTTGTGCTGGGACAAAACATGACCCAGGCTCTGGGTTATAAGATAACTAGGGCTGGGCTCCTGCACACCCCACACAAAGTCTTTGGCACACTCAGGTCACTGCTGTGAAGCTTCTCTCCCTCCAGGCAGCAGCAGCACAGCACAGGTGAAACCATCACAACAAGGAGAGAGAGAAGCTTCTGAGAGATCTTCAGTTCTTAAAACACTTCAGTATTTAAATAGGCAAGTACTCTCATGTGCAAATGATGCTCAGATATGCGTAAAACACAGCTAATGGCACTTGGTGCTCCCAGCTGCACCCCTCCCAAAGGCCTC